TTTTGGTTATTTTTTGTTGTTGTTTTGTACTGTTTTGTTGTTTTATGCCCACTGACGAGTGCCACTTGAACAGAACCATGGGGAGGGACAAGGCTTTGGCATGAGCTTTTTGGTTATTTTTTGTTGTTGTTTTGTACTGTTTTGTTGTTTTATGCCCACTGACGAGTGCCACTTGAACAGAACCATGGGGAGGGACAAGGCTTTGGCATGAGCTTTTTGGTTATTTTTTGTTGTTGTTTTGTACTGTTTTGTTGTTTTATGTCCACTGACGAGTGTCACGTGAATGGAGAAATGGGGAGGGAGAATGCTCTATCGTGAGTTTTTGGGTGTTCTTTTTATGTTGTTGTTTTGTATCGACTGACGAGTCTCTTGAGCAGAGAAATGGGGAGGGAGCAGGTTTTTGTGTGAGTTTTTTTATTTCTTCGTGTTGTTGTTGATATTGTTGTTTTGTATCCATTGATGAATGTCACAGAGAAATCGGGAAGGAGAAGGGTTTGGCGTGAGTTTTTCATTTGGTCTTTTTATTGTTTTGTTTTGTTGTTGATTTATGTTCACTGACGAGTGTTACATGGGGCAGCAAAATGGGGAGGGAGAGAAGCCTTAAGAGCTTGCCTCCTTATGAGCGACGCGATGTCGAGTCGCGTGTGCTCCTTGCCGCTCTAAAATCAATCAAGTAAGATTATAAAGAAACCGTTTCCATATATGGGGTGCCCACTAGCGAGAGTGGATCGGGTCGGGTCATTTTCTGGTGATTTTAGTGCACACCACAACCCCGCCGCGATTGTACCCGACGACCTGGAAGATAAAGTAGAGAAAACTTTAAACTCAATGGCTTCCAGCGCTCCTTTCCGCAGTTTCTTGTTGCAGTGCTGCGGCAGCCTGGAATCCCATAAAGATGGTTAGAATAGTCACATCGATAACTTTCTATTAACAAAGATCATTCATAAGGAGATAGCTCTAGTTCACTCGGCCAAAAAAGTGTCCGCGGAAGTCCGCGCATTGGTTCAGATAGTGCTGCAGTCTTTGTTTTAAAGCTCTCTTTCTTAGTTTCGCTGTTATTGTTTTTCACACAAGTAGGGTAACTATTCGCAAAATCTGCACTTTTTCGAAGAGGGCGCCTACGGATTTCGAGTGTAAACATGGACAAGTGACTCAGCCTTGTTGTGATTGGCTGCAGCAAATGACTCGATCGCGCGATTCGCAGGCCTGAAAACAAATGCGTTTGTTTTTGTAGGTCACCGACCGAGTCGATCGGTTTGTGCCACGATGGCCGCTTTACGCCCTCAATTTGGCTAGCCCTGACAACCAGATCGACCCGACCCGACCCGACCCGATCGCGTATGTGGGCACCCCCTACTACACGTGACGCGTCGCGACGTCCAGTATCGCACGCTACCGTCTCCTGCAATCGGTCCAAGAACCGATCGAGGGTCTTGTATCACCGTTGGTCAAAATACTTAGCCAAGGAGTGCCAGTCGACTCGCCGTGAGTGGTGTGGTGTACTGTGATGGTGTGTGTGTGTGTGTGTGTATGTGTGTG